GGGTGGCCAGGGCAGGAGGGGGGGGAGTTAGGGGTGATCAGGCTGGCATGCAGAGGCAGTGAGGGGTGATCAGGCTGGCAGGGTGGGGGCAGTTAGGGGTGACCAGGCAGGCAGGCAGGTGAATGATTAGAAGCCAGCAGTCCAGGATTGTGAGAGGGTGCAGGCTGGGCTGAGGGGACCTCCCCTCCCCCATGCACAAATTTCATGCACTGGGCCTCTAGTTAATAATAAACAAATAGACTCTATTAAAAATGATAAAACTTCATTAAGGGTCATGACAAAAAATTTGAATAAATAGAAAGAAATATATTGTTCCTGGATAGAAAGAACCAATGTCGTTTTTCTAAATGAATCTACATATTCAGGTAATCCCAATAAAATTTCCAACCCTTTTAAAAAACTGGCAAATTATTGTAAGTTTAATCACGAAGTATAGCAGGTGATAATAGTCAAGAAAATCCTATTGAAAAATGATGTGTGTATACTTGCCTAATAAAATAAAAATTATAGTAATTAAAATACTATGATGTTGAAAGAGAAAGCTGAATGAAACCAAAAATGAGAATTTAATATGTTACAAGTTTCCTTTTTAAATAAAGAAGTAAAAATAAATCATTTAATAAATGTTTTAGAAGTAACCGTGTTAGAAATAATAAAAAAAGGTTACTCTACATTCACAACTACCTCACTCTTCTTTTTACAGAACTTTCCTGACTTCTCATGCTCCCTTAAAGCTAAAGAAATGTTAAATGGGTCAAAATTGAAATGTGAAAATGAAACTAAAAATACTAGAAGAAATTTCAAATAACTGCATACATAATAAAAACAAAGTTGAGGACAAATGGTAAACTGTTAAAATATTTGAAGCCTTTTAAAAAACAAAGAATTGTTAAATCTTTCAAGAAATCTTAAAAATAAAATTTTCAAGAAAAAAATGCTTCAAATGAAAAATAGGCAAAAACCATGGATAGGTATTTGAACAAAAGAATAAAATACCAATCGGCATTTAAACATTTTCAACCTTTCTAATTATCAAAGAAATAAAAATCAAACCACACAATGCCATTTCTATGATCATATTAACAATGTTAAAAAGAATTAAAGAATTATAATCGAGTATTGTTGTGGGCATTGAAATGGGGAATCGTGTGCATAGTGATGGTGTAAATTGATGATACCACATTTTGAAGAGCAATTTAGCATTATATAACAAATTATAATCTGTTTCTAATCTGGGCACATTTGAGACATACCTAACAATTCCACTTCTTGGTACGTACCCAAAAGGAAGCACCCAAAGGTATATAAAAACATTTATGTACAGAGGAGTTCATTGCAGAGTTGTTTACAATAGTGAAAAATTAAAACAATCCACCAATACAGAACTGGTTGAATATATTACATATGTGTACAAAGGAATATCATGTAGTCATTACAAATTATAACAGAGCATTCATTGACAATGAAAGATAAAAAAAATAAATGAGCAGTTTGCAAAAATGTTCTCAATATGATGACTTTTTTGTAGATTTGAACATAAATCCATTTTACTATGGATGCATAAAGAAAAACTGGCATGGCTTAGTGGTTGAGTCTTGACCTATGAACCAGGAGATCAAGGTTCAATTCCCAGTGGGGGGCTCCTGCCTGGGTTGCAGGCTCGATCCCCGGTGGGGGGGTGGGGGGTGCAGGAGGCAGCCGATCAATGATTCTCTCTTATCATTGATGTTTCTATCTCTCTCTCTCCCTCCCCCTTCCTCTCTGAAATCAATAAAAATATATTTTTTTAAAAAAGGGAAAACTGGAATGAATGTTCTCCACAGTATTAAGTGGTTAGCTCTTGCATGTGAGATTTTGGAGAAGTTTTACTCCTTTGTACTTTTTTCATTGGGACTATCTTTTATAAAAAAATCAACAACAGAAACCATAGAGAGACTTACACACATGTGTGCATGCACACGTGTATGCACACACACATATCCATACAAGCCTCGAGAGGGGAACAGGAAGTACCTCAGGTGGTCATCGAAGCGCACGGTGGCGGCACAGTGGAAGACGATGTTGGTGCAGGAGAGCAGCTCCTGCATGTCCCCGTTGCTGATGGCCAGGTCGTTCTGGTTGAGGTCCGCGTAAACTGCTCTGATCTTCTCCTGCACGTTGGGACAGACCTCTTTGACTTTTTCAAACAGCTGAAACATGAATATAAATCAATATACAAACATCACCAGCACCAGCATCTTGTGCTTGTTCTCACTGACTTGTTTCATTGTAATTCTCAAAAATGGGTTTTAGTTGTAACGTCACTTAAAGAAGGCATCCCAAGAGCATTTGCTTAATTTCATGCAATTCCAAGTCCGTTTGGGATCATTCCTGCTCGTCATAATTTGATAAACATTTGAAAAAGTCAGTTCTAATAACCAGGAAAAAGTGTGTTTTGAACTTTCCTGCAGAGTGGAGGAGTGATAGTAAATTAAATATGTCTGGCTCCATCCCCTCCTCCTCTATGAGGCATCTCTGTGTTTATACACGTTGGTGGTTCCATTTTGTGCTGGAAAATATTGTTTTCGGTGCAAAATTACCAGCCTATATAAATTTTCAGGCTTTACAAAGTCTCATGAGGATAAATTCAAAACAACATGTTTAACTGGCCAGATTAATAAGATGTCCTAGTAACACAAACATAATTGGAAACAAATTAAGCACATTTATAATGGTTAAAACAAATACAAATTTTATATCGTCTCTTTCTAATATAAATGGCAGTTATTGCCTAGTAAGATAATTACATGAGCTCATGAACCTTTTATGGAATTATAATTGATTTTTTAAAATATTCTAATTTATAAAGGGCCAAGGGAGGAGCAGTGGCAGCTTCAGCTTTCATTACAATTATTCACTTGGCTCGAGGTCTCTACTTTCGCCTCCACACAGAAGTTCTTAAATTAAATTGGTGTTTTCCATCTTGTCAGGAAATATGATTTTAATAAAATGATCTTGGTCCCAACCTATTTTGGTAAAATGGAATTTTACTGTAATATTGGTATGATATGTTAACAGCGGGGGGAAAGAAATGTAAGGCTGAATGTTTAGAAAGGTTAAGGGCAGAGAAAATTCACCTGTGGTTTTAATCATAATAGAGTAGCAGAGACAGTCCTCTTCTACTCTTGAACCACCAAAGAACGTTTTCATCTATTCCTTGATCCTTAGTAGCAGGCTTCTTCTCTCTGTTAGAGATCTACCCCAGGCTTTTCTTTGGGTAATAAGTAGTTGATCTCAGGTGTCAGAGGAATCGTGCCTCATTTGTGTCAGGCAAGACCACATTCAGAGGCCATGATGGGAGTGTTATGAAGCTGATCAGAGAAGGAAATTAAATCCACATATTGCTTGGCAAGTTCATATATACTATCTCTAAGCTACTATTTTTCTGCAAAGGGTCAGCCTTTTCCATGGGGTGTTACTTCAATTCTAAAAATAACTAAATTTGTAGAAGGCTCTTGTTTTGAATCTGCTTGATAATTTTATTCACAAAATATTTATTTAATGTTCTGTGGCGTCTTTGACTTTGGCCTGTAATGATTTTTGGCCACTTGACAGTAAGAAGGGGAAGGTGATTTCAGTGTCCACCCTTCTAGCAATGGGGTTCCTCACGTCTGATGTAAGCTGCTATACACAGATTTTCTTTTTCATTTATTTATTTATTTATTTATTTATTTATTTATTTATTTATTTATTTATTTTTGTGATTCTAAAAGGCAGAGGATGCTTCACACCATATTGTACTTTTAGACAACCAATGCAATGTTGAACAGCACCCAAATACTAATTTACAGTATTACTGTTATAGGAGATAATTATTTCAAGAAACAATGTCTCAATCTATATTCTATATATTGACTTATTATTTCAAATGAGAGGACATATTTGAATGAAATAGTCCACTTAAAAAAGTCTGAGTTTTCTGATCCAAGTAATAAATGATTATGGTGAGTCAAAATAAATCAATGAATTAGCTGCATTATATGATATGCCTTGTCTGAATCTCATCATATTGCTATAATTTCTAGTAAAACAACACTCTGTAAATACTGCTACATCCTATAGAGAATGCTAGATGTTACAGCCAACTGCCATTCACCAGGTCAGTACTTTTCAAGGTGTTATCCTCCAATCAACTGCATGAGGATCACTAGCAAGTATGCATATTAAAAATGTATATTCCTGGGCTCCATGAAAGAAACTGAAGAAGACACAAATAAGTAAAAAGAAATATTCAATGGATTGAAAGAATCAATACTGTTAAAATGTCTATCCTATGTAAAGCAATCTATAAATCCAATACAATCCCTATCAAAATATCAATCACATTTTTCAAAGAAATAGAACAAATAATCCTAAAAATTTTATGGAGCCACACAAAACCCTGAATAGCCAAAGCAATCTCAAGAAAGAACAAAGTTTGAAGCATCACACTCCCTTATTTCAAAAAATAATACATAATGGTAGTAATTAAAACAGTATGGTATTGGCATAAAGACAGACACATAGATCAGTGGAACAGAATAGAGAGCCCAGAAATAAATCCATTCATGTATGATCAATTAATTTACAACTAGGAGCCAAGAATATACAAAGGGGAAAGGACAGTTTCTTTAATAAATGGTGTTGGGAAAATTGGACAGCTACATGCAAAAGAATGAAACTGGAACACTATCTGATACTATGCCCCCAAATTAGGTCAAAATAGATTAAAGACTTGAATGTAATACCTGAAATCATAAAGCTCCTAGAAGAAAATATGGTGGTAATCTCCTTGACATAGGTCTTGGCAATTATTTTTTAATCAAAATCAAAAGCAACAAAGGAAAAAATAAATAAGTGGGACTACATTATAGTAAAAAAACACAAAACTTCTGCACAGCAAAAGAAACCAGTAACAAAAATGAAAGGGCAACTTACTGAATGGGAGAATATATTTGTAATCATATATCTGAAAATGGGCTAATATTAAAAATATGTAAAAAAAACCCAAAACCTATACAACTCAATAGCAAAAAATATCGAATTGAAAATTGAGCAGAAGATCTGAAAAGACATTTCCAAAGATGACATAGAGAGAGCCAATAGACACATGAAAAGATGTTCAATATCATTGATCATCAGAGAAATGCAAATCAAAACCACAAGATATGGCCTCATACCTGTTAGCATGTCTATCATAAAAAAGATAAGAAATACCAAATATTGGAGAGGATGTGGAAAAAAGGGAACCCTTATGCACTGTTGGTGAGATTGTAAATTGGTGTAGCCACTATGGAAAACAGTACATAGATGTCTCAAAAATTAAAAACAAAATTATTATATGACCCAGCAATTCCACTTCTGGGTATTTATCCAAAGAAAACAAAAATACTAACTCGAAAAGATATATGCATTGTCATGTTCATTGCAGCATTATTTACAGTAGCCATGATATGAAAACAACCCAGGTGTCCATTGACGGATGAATGGATAAAGAAATTGTATATAGATAATGGAATATATATATACTAGTGGCCCGTTGCACGAAGATTTGTGCAATAGGCCTTCCTTCCCCTGGCTGCTGGCACCGGTTTTCCTCCGGCACCCGGGACCCAGGCCTTTGGTTCGGCCGCAGAGCGAGGCTTGGCTTCTCTGCTCTGGCTGCTCCCAGCCCCTCCTTTTTATTTTCCAGCTCCTCAAGCGGAGGCCAGGGCGGGCTGGAAGCCTGGGTCGCCCCCAGCCCCTCCTTGAGCGAAGCCCAGGCCCCCAGCCACTCCTTGAGTGGCGTCCAGGGCCGGCAGGAAGCTTGGCCTCCTCCGTCACCAGGAGCAACCCAAGCCTCCTACTTGCTCCAGCTCCTTGGCCGCCGCCATCTTCAGTTGTCTTCAGTCTTCACTCTGTGGCTGTGTATGCAAATTAACCGCCATCTTTGATGGGTTAATTTGCATAGTCACTCTGATTGGCTGGTGGGTGTAGCAGAGTGGCGGAGTGACAGAGTGATGGTTAATTTG